TTTGGCATCTGTCTATGCCAACTTCTTTCTGGGTTCATTTCATGTCTCTGTGGGTGTGGGGGATACATACATATGTACATGCACATATGCACTTTGTCATCTGCCTTATCACCCAATTTCTTTCCCGGTGAGTACAATTTTAAATACAATTATTCAAATAGCTATTGAATGTATACAACTTTAAAGATTTCGCCAAAGAAATTAGTGGAAATCTAATAGTTTAATCATCTTAAGAGTCAATTAGGAATATGCCAGGGACAACAGATCAAGTTGGTACTTTGAGTTATTGGGATGTGGCGAAGGTTTTCACATGATATGCCTGAGCTGCCTCAACCCCTGAGTCCAGCCTGGTGGCTGATGGAGGTGGGAACTGGAGGGGCCAGCGTGGCTCTGTTAGACTCCTGATGAGCCAGCCAGGGCAGGGCTTTCCTTTGAGTCAGTGGATGCAGAGTGTGGAGGGGAAGGCTGTATTTATGTTGGACCCTGAGCTGCATCAGTGCTGACGGGGACCCCAGCCCGGTTACTGAGGAGCCAAACCTGGCTAGAGAGACAATGTTGCTGAGAGGCCTCCTTCCTCCTGGAGACTTGACTAGACGATTCCCTCAGTGCATCACTCACAGAACCACTAAAGACCCCTTTCTTCCCAGAACTGTCCCTGAGCTTCAAAGAACAGACAAAAGAAAATAACTGTGCCTAAGAGCACTCAGCTGACAGAGAGCAGGAGGAGAGCCTGGAACAGTCCCTCAAGGAAACACACCGCTGGATAAGATGCCCAAGCAGAAGCACAAGGACATTCAAACACAGTGAAAAAAAATTTCTGGAGCTAGAACTTTTAAACTACTCATCAGATGAATTAAGGCAGACTTTAGAAATCAGTGCAATAATATCCCAAACATGCAAGGAAAATACACAAGATGGAAAGCATGAGGGCAAAATTAGCAACCAGAGGGCTGGATTCAGAAGACCCGAGGTGTGTTCTCAATGAGAGTTCCAGGAGGGCAGGTCAACGTGAAGGAAGGGATAGTCAGACAACCAAGAGAAGAGAATATGGGGTTTAAAAATGACTTGTGCTGTACTAGGACCAAAACCATACCTCAGCCCATCCAGGTAAAATGCTTAACGGTAGGTATGAAGAGATGCTTGCACCCCTTCAACACAGTGGAGGACATTAAGTACAAGGACAGGGGAAGCGAGGGGCATCCCATCTCTCATTGACAACGGAAACTTAAAGACCTCCAAAAAATATGAGTTAGCTGAAATACTTCTTCTAGTTAGGTTTGAAAAAAAAAAAAAAAAAGGTATCACACAGTTACTTATCTGAGAAAAACACTATAGAAAGAACAAATGAAAAAAATGAGCCAGAACAGAAAATTCAAGATAGGAGAAGATGAAGAGATGCTCATATGTCTGATTCTGTGTGTGTGTGTGTGTGTGTTTTCTCTGTCTTTCTCTTTCTCCCTGAGGCAGTTGTAACAGAGACCTAGGCTGAGCTCAAGGGGAACTTTGGAGCTGGAGCTGTTCTGAATTGAGGGGTAACTGGATTTTTCACCCAGTACTGACTAGTAGTTGCACCATAGGATGTCCCAGGAAAGGAGCCACTACGGGGTGTGCAGCTTCCTTAGTTTCCGTCAGTTCCTAGAGAGAGAGACTTAGCTGGGAACTGTTAGCAGCCAATGCTCCTTCAGTTTGGGGTGGGATGGAAACCAGCTGCAAACCCCGCATCCTGAAATTACACACACACTTCGATCTGTATGTACCGAGCTGAGCTGGGCAATGTTAAGCAGTCAGCAATGGGGGTGGTGGTGTGTGGGCAGCTCTGATGTGTAGCTTCTGCTGATTTTTCTGGAGTAAATACAGTTAACCCTTGAATGACATGAGTTTGAACTTGTACAAGAATTTTGCTGTAAACAGACAATGTAAGCATATTTTCTTTTCCTTATGATTTTTTTTTAACATTTTCTTTTCTCTAGTGTACTTTATTATAAGAATATAGTATATGAATCATACCACATATAAAATATGTGTGATGTGACTGTTTATATTATTGATAAGTCTTCTGATCAACAACAGGCTGTTTAGTAGTTAAGCTTTTTTTTATTTTAGTAGGTCAAAAGCTATACACAGATTTTCAACTATCCAGGGGAACGGGGCTCAGCACTCCTAATTCTCAAATTGTTCAGGGCTCAGCTGTACTCCTTTACGGTGGATAGCAAGCTCTCGATGTGGTGCCACTGCACGTAAAGCCAGGATAAGATGCTTGCAACTGCTGTCAGGAGCTGCCAGCTGACTCCTCCCTACCCCTGTGGGTGCAGGAGGGGAGGGGAAGGCATGGGAGCGTGGCGGCATCCTCCTCTGGGCATCTGGTTCAGTGGGAGAGCTCTGTCAAAGGAGTTATTTCTCTGTTTGACTCATTTTCTCTCTCTTATTTATTTATTTATTTATTTTTATAGAGGCATGTTTTATTTATTTATTTATTTGTTTGTTTGTTTTGTTTATACATGCACTGGGTACAGTCAGAAGCACGGGAGGGTGAGAGAATTCACCAGAGCCAGAGCGGGGAGCAGAGCAGGCAGAAGGACCGAAGTACACTGCTGAGGGGAGCAGCGGGCGGCAGGAGAGGTCTGCGCGCCATGTGGGACCCTCCTCCGGTGGCCGGGGAGCAGCCGGGGATCGAACGGGCGCTGCAGAGGCCGCGGGCAGCTTCGCAACCCAGCGCTCAACCGCTGCGCCACCGGGGAGGCCCTGACTCATTTTCTCTTTTTTGATCACTTTCTAAATCTTGTCCCTATAGCCCCCTGCCCCTTTCATGCTCCTTCAGCCCAGTAAGTTGGTATTGTTTGCAGGTAGGAATCTCAAATGCTTGTCATTCTGAGGTCCAAGTGACCATCTAAAGGCGAGGTTGCTTCTTGGAAGGTGCTTCTGAGGCTAAGGAAAGAGTGGCCCGAGGGCTTGGCCAGTCTCTGGAAGGACATATTTTTGGCTTTGTAGGACATATGGTCTCTGTTGGAACTACAAACCCCCCGCAGGACATAGTCTGCTGACTCCTGTGCATATGAACCCACTGTATCATAAACCTCTGTGTAAGTGTTAATTATGGAGATTTCAAAGGGCCCAGAGGAAGGAATCCCTTAACTAGCAGATCAGACCAACTGATGCAGGGGAGAGATTTAGGCCTTGAGGGAGGTTTTGTGGTTCAGTTGGCTTTATGAATGTAGCCTTACTCAGAAATGTTTTCTTAGCTTCTTTTTCTCCAGGGTTAAATAAAGTGAAGAAATAAGATCCCTTGGATTAAATAAAACAAAACAAAATAGAAAAAGCCACTCTCCCAAAACCAAAAGACTGATTCTACTATCAAACCCTTTTATTTATTATGATCCCCATAATTCTGAAATAGACCGGGGAAGGAGGCAGCCCCTAGCCAGTGCTTTATCTCTGAAGAAAGGCATAGTGAGTGGATTAACAGAGTTAACCAGGTCAAGCAAGCAGAGCCTATGAAATGAAATTCCCCAGCTTTCTAGCAAGTGAATTATTTGAACGTTAAAATGAAATCCATAAGTTTTCTATTATCAGTGTGGATGGTGTAGGATGTTTTTGGGCAATTCTTGATGAACACCTCCAGCGTATTGGTGTCGTTGGCCTAGAGGCTAAAGTTACAGTTTTTCAAATATATTTAGGGCAAGTCTCTTTTCCCTTGGCTTCAAGTTTTCTGTAAATAAATACGTTGGATTTCATGGATATTTTTATGATTTGTGTTGGTATAGATTCCTAAACTTCACTGAAACAATTAAGCCCTCTTACTGAAAAGAAATGCCTTGTCTTTTAAACACTTTTTGACATTATGAAAGGCCAATTCAGGTTTGGCTTCCAGTTGCCTTAGTCTGTGTGTGTGTAGTTATTTTCTAATATAAAGTATTTGTCTTTTCATTGCTTTGTTGATTCTCCCTAGTGACCAGGAAGTTCAGAGCTGAATTTATGTCCAGACCAGCCCCTCCTTGTTATGTTGCAATTGCCTTTCAGTTCATATTTTCTGGTTCATAGAATTCTATGCGAATTTGATGAAAGCCAAGGGGACCCAGCGGAGACCATTCATAGATACCCACAAAATGTATGTGGTGTGTGGATTGTGATTACCCCTTTTGGAAATTTTCACCAGCCATATTTTGTGTTTTATTTGTGTTACTTTCTAGTGCCTCAAACGTTAACTTCCATAAGGACTTCAAGACAGGAGAGACAGAGGTTAGCCTGGAAAGGAATCATTTGTTTTTATGCAAAGAGGAAGAAATAACGAACATTTTCTGAGGAAAAATGTATCTCCAGGAATGTAATGCAGCTTAGTCTGATAGTACCTAAGAAAGCACTAGACTAAATTGAAGCCCTGGTTTTATCCCTGGCTAGTTCTGAACTTCAGCATGTCCTTTCTCTGCAGCGGGCCTGTTCTCTTAACTGTAAACTGAGAATACTACACAGGTGGTAGGAGAGTAAGTGTGAAATTCTATGTGCAAGTGTTGACTATACTGTAATGTGTGGTGCACAGCAGAGGATCCAATAAGACTGGTTCCTCAGGATTCACCATAGCCAGCATTGGTTATTCCAAGGAATGGACATGCCCTTGCCTTGTATAACAGTCACTACTTACTGATCACCCCTAAAATCTTGCTGCCATTTGTTTTTTGCTGCCCCAGGAAAAAGATAAACATTTAGGGAGGTTTTGTCTGTCTTGAAATGAGCATGTAGAACTGTGAGGCCACTGAGACCATGGGCTCAGGGATGCGCATGAAAAATGCATCCATCTCCTACACATCTTCTCGGGGCCAGCGCCTCCGTGGACCTTACCTGACTGTTCTTTTCTTTTCTCCACACTATAGGATTCATCTAATTCCATTGACTGCTTGTTCTTTTTATCTGTTGCTAAATTTAAATTAAATATTCTATTGAGTATTCACTATATGGGAGACTTACACTGATCACAATTCTATACTGTCCTGATTAATTATTTTCAGATACTCACCTGTCTCTGTGTCACACATTTGAAGGAACAGATCACTTGTGATGCACCATTCTTCCTGCTGTCCATTAAAGGAGCTGGCAGCTGAACACCTGGGCCTACGTCAACCCTGGGATACCACTGAAGAGTGGAAACCATGATTTACCTGCCTGGTTTTAAAAGTTTGGAAATAGATACAAATGCAAATTATCTATAACCCCACTGTCCATAGATAACTGCTGTAAATATTTTAGTATGTTTGATCTTAACTTTTTAAAAATCTGTGTCTCTACTTAACTACTTTGGAAATTCCATTTGCAAAATTTTATATCCCACAATTTTCTCATGATAAAAAAGTTTAAAAATGTGATTTAAATGGCTGCAGACTATTTTATCATGTCAACGAACCATCATTTATTTACCAATTTCCTTGTTAGACATGTAGTCTCTATCAATAATTTTACTATTACAGAAGTTATTTTAGTGGGGATTTTTGAATATATATATTTCCCCATGTCTGTATATATGAATATTCCCCTTTGACATATTCATGGAATTTAAATTACTATTTAAATAATGTGGAACTTCTAAAACTACTGCTTTGTATTACTAAATTGCTATTTATCTTTTCTAGTCTCTATCTTTTCTAGTCCCATCAGCAGAGAGAAGTGCCTAGTTTATCATTCCTCCACTGATATTAATTATCTTTACCAATATTTATAAATTTGATTAAATCATATGACTTTCCGCTTTGCTTTTATATATTTCTTTTATCAATACTGAACTTAACATTTTTTACATATTTATTAACAACTTTATTTCTTCACTGAATTATCTGTTTGTTTTTGACCATTCCAAAAGATGGAAATATTAGTATTTGTCCTGTATGCTACAGATGCATTAGTGAAGGTTTTACAAGAATATTTTAAAATCAAATGCATATTTTTTTATGCCACATCATTTATGGTCACCTTGGAAGAAAGCCCAATCCCAGATGCAAGGGGCGATTCCTTCAAATACAGCCTCAGTTGTTTTGAATTATTGAACCATTTCTCATTTGGATAGATGAACCATAAGAAAATGTTAATATAGATTTTTCCTCAGTTCAGTTGGTTTCCATTAAGTGAATCTTTTGTTTGACATAGGTTTTCACATCCACCAGATGGGAAGATGCTGCTGGCAGAAAGATGGGCTTGCTCTGGTGTTATTGCAAGAATGAAGAGATCTCTGTGGCACAACTGCAGGAGGTCAGCCAGAAGAAGAATTTCATTTCCGTTCGTTTCCCCCATCCTCCCTTCTTACTTTCTTTTTACTTTTTGTAATTCTAAGGTGTCAACAGTGGCTTGACTTGTTAGATGGAACATATTTTTCAGAAAGTCTCTGTTTTACACATTTTCCCCAGGTGCTATAGATTCCTGAAAGCACTGATAGAATAGATTTTTTTGGAAGTCTAGTCATAAGATACACAAGAGCGATTCATCACAGAGACTTCCATTAATCCTAAAAACTAAAACAACCAAACAGATTTCAACCACACTCTGCAATTGGGTGCTGGCATTACCTTGATTGTACAGATGAGATTTTTGAGTAGTGAATCCATTTCCTCAAGACCAACAGCCAGAAAAGCCACAACATCCAAGCTTAGACCCTATCTGCTGATGCCGAGGTGCCTGATCCCGCCTGTCAATCACTCAAATGGCCTTAATAGTTATAGTTCTTACATGTGACCAGAAAGCTCTAGTCAGTCTTTATGTGTGATCAGAAATCTGTAGCAGATCCACAAGGCAGGCCCTGCAGGGGGCAGGGTGCAGAGGTGGGACACTGCCAGAGTGTTGGATCCTGGGGCTATGAGTAAGCAAATTAATGGATGAGACAGAACCCTTAATGAAGCCCAGATAGACTGTTTTCCCAGTGAAATGGCAAAAGGCGAAAATGGACACAGTATGAAAGAACAGAGGTGAGTGCTGTGTGAGTCTGTTTCTGAGTAGTTATGAAAAGCTATGAGGTTTCTAGGACTAAAGGAAGAACAGGGGGCCTCAGGAAGACAGAAGTGAGGCAGATGAAGCTATACCAAGATAGAGAAATAAGGGCCCGAGAGCCAGGGGCCAAGTTTCTGGCTTAGTGGGCCTAGAAAAGGAAGAAGACACGCCAATGAATTGATGTGAATGGATGCTTCTTGGTTTCCCATGGCAACTTCTCTCATAAAGTGTGTGAGGAATTGTTCCATTAATTGAGTTCCCCATCATGACTGCAAACACTGCTCTGGAGAACATGTATGAAGGGGAAGGATGCTTTCGGGTTTCATGTGGTAGATTTTCCAAGACAGTGGGTTTCATACTTTTTTGGATTATGGCTTTTCTATCACAAGCTATCCATATATACATATGCATATAGAGCCAAATCAAAATTTCATGGTACAATACTCACCCTTAGAGGCAAGAGATACTGATATTTTCTAGTCTCTTGTATTTCATTTAAGCAAAAGTACTGGCACCTCTCACTACATTGATTTCTGAATCTAATAAAGGGTCATGACTTATTGAGTGAAAAAAATCACTGTTGTCAGTATCATAGAGTGTGCACAGAAGTCATCGTTTAGGTACTTTCTAACCACAATCCACAGCATTAAAGTTGTATATGGAAATTTTTTTCAAAGTAGAGGAGATAAAAATAGATGTTTTAATTCTCATTAAGCTTTATCCTTGTAGCCTGCAAGTAACTTCCACCATGGTGGATTTCGGATTGTCTAGAATGTGAGTGTGAGGCCAGGATTGGAAGCCCATTCTGAATATGGGCAGAAGTTTCCCGAGTACCACTAAAGTCAGTCAGGCTATGGCTGAGATAGGGCGTCATCCTTCCCCAGCTTCCCAGGACCCCTTGGCTGTGCACACAAAGAGAACCAGGCTTTTCTTGTTTGGGCCTTTGCTCCTTCCTATTTGATTGAATTTGAAGAGGAACTGTTTGCCTTTGGCTGCACATCCTGAATCATAATCAGGATGCTGCTGGCACAGAAAACCTGTTCCCACCCTTGCCTGAAATAACTGAACAGGGAAGTAGAGTTCCTCCCTTTCCAACCTTAAAGAAAGAGGCTCATAATTTATGGTGTGCTGGCAATACATCAAAAGTCAATTCAGTCACTTACAGTAAAATCAAGGAGGGCAGAACAATGAATATAAAAAGTGAGATTGAAACACCTCATTAAAGGAACAAATTGTTCAGTTGACACTAGAATAATGATACTTACATATTTGTCTGCCAGAGTCCAGTGGCCTTCAGAGATACTTCCCATGGAGATGTCTGTGGGGTCTGAAAGAGGTATAAAGTCTTACCCTTAGCCTTTTTAATTCTTCAACAAGCATACTTTGCTCAAACTATCTGTCAGGGATGGTGCTACCAGGATATATCGGTTTCCTAGCACTGCTCTAACAAATTACTGTATATCTGGTAACTTAAAATAGAAATTTATTCCCTTTCTGGAAGCCAGAATTCGGAAACAGGGTTTTGGTAGGGCCACTCTCCCTTCAAAGGTTCTAGAGGAGAATTCCTTCTTGGATCTTCCAGGTCCCAGTGGCCCCAAGCATTCCTTGGCTTGTGGCTACACCACTCCAATTTCTACATGTGGCTTCTCATGGCCTTCTCCTTCTCCTCTGCATGTCTCTTGAGACTGTGCTTGGAGGTTCTATCAGGGGAGTGCAGCTACTTATATACCCTTGACCAAAGAATGCACCTTCCCTGTTCGGGGGAAGTTTATCCTCTTGGAATTGAACTTCGGGGGGGATGCACACGGAGCAGTGAGGGAAGAAGGGGACACAGGCCTAGCCAGCCATATCAGCTAGTCAACCCTGGTGAACAATGGGGTGACAGATGTTGCTACCAGATCGCCCTCACCTCCACCTATCTCTTGTCATTGGATTTAGGGCCCACGTGGATGATCCAGGCTGATCTCATCTGGAGATCTTTTATTTAAATATATCTACAAAGACCCTTTTCAAATAGGGTCCCATTCACAGTTACTGAGGGTTACACTTGGACATATCTTTTGGGGGGCACCATTCAACCTACTAGACAAGGGATGCAAATTTGAAAAGGAAAGGGGTTGTTCTTTTCTAGGAGTTTGGTCAGGTCAGGGAGACAAATAATTAAATAATATCAAAAGAAGAACCACAGACAGAGCTGTGTTCCAAATGCTAAGGGGATCTTAAAAGAATTTGTATGGGGGTTGATGTGGAGGTTATGGGCTGGGATATTTTTTCTTTTCTAACTTTTGAACTCTACACTTTTCTGGCATCTAGAAATCACCATTGAAGGCAATGAGAAAAAACAAATTGAAAAAAGAAGTCTTGTCTACATCAAGAGGATTAATATTGATCTACCCAGATTTTTCAGCTCTGCCAACCCTACTGGTTAACTCTAGGTTTGGGGGAGTTGGCAAGAAAGTGAGGGAAGCTGAAACCCATGCATTGGTCAAGAGTTTTGATGGCAGTCTGCCTGGGAGGTGAAGAGCTGGACACCATGACATGGTCGCTGACTTTCTATGTGGTAGGGAATGGGAAAGAAGAGTCTTTGCCACCCAGCCAAGGTCAGAGCATGTGTGCCCCTACAGGGATGCCACAGGCCAAGACAGCTGCCCACTGAGCTCTCCTGCTTCGCTCTAAGGCCTCAGGCTAAATGTTCTCCATGGCCTGTGTAGAAGCAGGGTGGGCACTGAACAGATTCTCTATGATTCAAGCAGATGGGTGAAGGAGAAGTCTTGGAGCTCTTGGTGGCTTTTTCAGGCTTTTATTGAGTTTACCAGGTACACGGCAGGCAGGGGTGCCGGGGTGGGGAAGGGGGTGGGAGGCTGGCAGGCCTCCAAGCCCCCAGCAAGTCTTCACTCTTTTTGGGCTCTACAATGTTCTCTTGTGGTCTTTGCTTCTCTTCTCCTTTTGTTTTTCTGGCATCCTTATGATGCTGCCCTTATAATCCCAGTCTCTCAGCTCAGGTGTATCCCATCTGCATAAGCCTGCAGGTGCCTGCCGTCAGGCATGCATTCAGGACTGCAGGGATCCATCATCAATCCTAATGGCGGGAGGGCAGAAAAGCCTGATACTTTTTAACCCTACCCTACAGCCTGATGTGGTGGGGGCAGGCAGCTATTGCCCCAAGACATGCTCGAGAGACAAGATGGGGAGGTTCTGCCCACTGCTCTTTTTGGAACAGTGTATTTTTTACAATCTTCACAGAATATCACTAGTGGCTCTT